ATTAGACAGTGTACCCTTTCCCAGCAAGAATTGGACATCAACTTCTCTGCACCTTCTCTCCGCTACTTTCCCACGAATATTGTAAGAAATGAAAAGTAATAAATTGATAAAATAAACAGCCCCTCCTATTGGTAAAAGTTAACAAAAGATGAACAGTTGTGCATAACATTTAATCTTTTATTTTTAATCATCCTTTTCAATTTACTTGTTTATATAACTATCATTTTAACTCTAGGATCAGATCGACTATGATCTATGATATAATTTAACTCAGACTTATAAATTTATTTACTAATTGAAACAAAGGGATCTAACAATCGACCCCAACGTTTCTTTTAGTAAAACTGCCTTGTTTTTTTTTTCAGTTTCCTAACCGCGTCAAAACCTCTACATGAAATATTTTATAAATGTGCGAAAGGAACTTTGCACATCTGAAAATTATCCAAAGAAAATTAGAAACATATATGCTTCAGTTGATTTTTTTAATGCTTAGACTAATTTAGACTAACAAAGTTTGGGGACCGTGTGGATCGGTCCGGGATTTGTAGATTGCCAAATGAGCGTGCTTGCCACTAGGTTAAATTTGGTTGCAATTGCTTGGTTAATAATTGGTGAATAAATGCGCGCATCAATTACGCGTGGCAAAAAATCCCGCATTTATAATCAAGCTAAATTGAACTTAAGTCGCAGTACTTGATCACATTAATTCCACTCAAAACTTACCACTTTAATTTTGATTGGCAATCCAAAGTTGTAGGTTATCAAATCAACAGCTAAATTCACAAAAGTTTTTCGAGACCAATTAAGGGGCATTCGGAACATTCAGGGCTTTGCCCTATACACGAGCAGTCTTGTTAAGGTAGATTGGTACAAGTGTGATAGAAATGGTGTGTCCAAAGGAAGTAACAGGTCCCTAATGTAAATACATTGCCTCAAAATTGTTCAATTTATTGCCTCTTTGATGTCAATTAAAGCATGGCATAATTTCGCGCAAAAGAGGCAGGTGAATCATGTTTGAGAAAAAATTCTTAAAACAATTGAATGTCGTCCATTGATTTACCTAACTGCTTTATTTGTTATCATATAACATACTTCTAGAAAAAATATAGAAAAAAAAGTTACGTCAAATTGCTCTCAGCTTTAATCATATTTCATCCATGGAAACTTAGTTTTTTGAGTTCACTTGGTTTTTCAAGTGCAGTATCAAGTTACAAGACCAGTAGTAGCGCCTGATGGTTCTTGTAAAAATTAACCCTCCCCTACTGATTTTCGATCTCAATTTTGATATGCGGTCAATATTAAAGCATTATGAAAAGATTTGATCAACCGTTTGATTTTTTTTTTTGAAAAATAACTGTTTCCTAAAAGATTGTGTAGTTCACGATGAGGAGCCACATTTTCTAACTACCTTTTGATTAATTATTTCTAACTACTTTTGATTAATTATCAGTCACATAATAATCACATTGAAAACAAAACTGCTCGTATCAAGAAGCTTTGAAGGTTCCGACTGTCTTTTAATTTCAAGGGTGTAGTGTTTGCTTTTTAAGAAAATTTAAATTCAATAAATGTTTTTTTTTCGAAGTTTTGAATCCCATTGCCCCACACGCTATATAAAGTAACCAATGATATAATTTGCAAATAGCAAAATATTGAATAGAATAAACAACTCGCCCCAACTTAAATAAGAACGCTTTCTAAGACGGACTAAATCACCGTTTATGCGTTCATAGCACAAAATAGTTATCCCAAAAGTTAACGATAAAAAAATTCACAAATCACAAAATCACAATTTAAAAATTTGAAACATTTTTTAAGTTTGAAATCAAGTCAACAACATCTTCCGGTTGATTCAAACAGTCCGTCAAAATTGCTAGATGAAATCTCGAAGTTTGTCTGGAGTAAAAAACTCCGGATCACAAATATTCCGTCACTTGTTTTGAAATTACAGGGTGTCCCCAAAAAGAGATTCCAACTGGAATTACGCTCGAATTGCCGAATCATTTTTCATGAAAATCGGAACACATATTTAGGAGTCTAAGTCACAGAATTTCTGAAAATGATAACGCTGAAACATGTGTGAATAGAACGTTACGGCAATATTTCACTCCGCAAAGTATCAAACTGCATTAAGTTTTTCATGCTTCTCACTTGTTAAAGTGATACAGGTTACAATCGACAACCGAGCAGCGATTCTTTTCTGTTTTAACGTTTGTCAGTACAAAACGAACAGATGAGACTATTTGTCAGCTCGCTCTTATTTTCCCAAATCGTTCCCCGCCAAACAGATCTCGATTGAGTACATATACAATAAGTACCAAGAAAAAGGCACCAGTCAGAATCTGAATAAAAAATACCTTGGTACACCAATAACGGGCAGAAGTTATGCAAGTAGAGTCTACAAAAAAGCTCGTTTGGCGAATTTAGATGACCCGAAATGGAAAATTATCCAAGAATTTGCGGTGATAAAACTTGAACAAAGAATGTCGAGGAAAGTAGTTTTTGGGATACTAAAATGAGCTTGAAGATGTTTGTAACTAAGTAGGGCAAAATTTGAGGGACGTGCAGCTGGAGCATAAAACCATAAAACAGACTCTCAAAAAATCTACAACTTTCATTAGTTTTACTTTGTCTGGTTTCCAAGCTTTCTCCGAGTGAACATGAAAACAATTTCTTCGTGAAGTTTTCTCGGTAGAGTGAAAAAAGGCGATAGTTTTTTCCCACTTTGAAGAAAAACTATTGGTCACTACACAACGTGTGTCTTGGGCAGCTAGGTGTGTGTGCATATTTTCAAGGAACTCGACCAAGCAGTTGTTGAAATAATCCAGTTAGATCATATTGGGACACCCTGTATAATGTTTGGAACTGATTTGATACAGAAAATTGAGATCATTCATTGCTTCGATAAAAGTAGCGGAGAATTTGTGTGGTTTTTTATTCAGACAATTTTCGAATTTAAACCATCAATTTTTGAGGTAATTTGTTTACCAACTGAAAATTATTGTTCTCCTGAACATTATTTTAGTGGCTTAGTGACCTAATTTCAAGTTATTTCAATAGAAACATATTTTTAAAGCTCATCTTTAGATTGAAGAAAATGCTAAACATCATAATAGAAAATTCTTTTTATTTTTAAAGCTCATCTTTAGATTGAAGAAAATGCTAAACCTCATAATAGAAAATTCTAATTGAATATTTTCATGACGATAATTTTTTTATCGCTTTTTTGATTTTTTTGGCATGATAGGTTTTGGGCTATATTATATCGGCCCCATATTGCTTCTTTTGTTGAGCAAAAAAAATGTGTGTGTGCGTGTGTGTTGTGAGGACGAGGGGGCTTGATAACATCTTATTAGTCTTAATATTTTTTTCAATTAATTTTTTTCGTTTTTATTGGGATTGTTAGGTTTCGGGCTATTTAATATCGCCTTAGTTGTCTCATATTGTTTCATTTGGCGTGCAAATAATGTTGTTTGAGTGTTTTGAGGAAGACGGGGACTTTTCACAAGTCTTAATTCTTGATGATTTTTTGGCTAAAAAGGCTTTTGGCAAGGTATTTGTTACTGCTTGGTAAATTGTCTGGCTTCCGATGATTTTTTTCACATTCTACTGTCTTGGCATGTTTTTGTACCAAAACTAGCATTATTCATAATGATAGATCTATCTTTTTGCACATTTTCAATATTTTTTTTCGATTTTTTTGTGTAGTATCGCAAGTGGTGCAAAGCTCAGCTTCGCCTCTGTAGATTTGAGAGGTCACCCAAAGATTTCTAACGAAAACTGCTGAGGGATGCCTCAGAAAACAGTACAGTAGTGAAGTATATCTAATTTTAATTAAAATAACATAAGTTTTGAAGTTTTTTTTTATCACAAAAAAAGTGTCTTATCGGCCCATGCCTCGGAAACCAACAGTAAAATTAGAATCATTTTTAGTCAACAGTTAAAATAATCAACAGTTTAAGTAATCCATGTTGATTCTGCAAATTTCATCAGAAAAGATCCGAACAACCCAGTAAGGAATGAGCCATGAAGCCAGCTTAGCTGACAATTTGATCTTTTTTTTTCATACCATCCTGAAAGCTTATTGGTCCGAAATATGAGCCAAATGAAGTACCAAAAGTTGGTTAATTAGACGGATTTCATTAAGCTTGCTCTTTAAGTCATTCAAACAAAACTCAGTAGATTAATAAGCAAATAACATTGAACCGTCTTTTTGTGTTTGCGGTATGTTCATATAGCCAATGTGACGATTCGAGTTTCATTTCGGAGCGATTAAAACTTTTGACATTTAGTCGTTTCAAAATGCCACATGAATCCTTATCTAAACAATTTTTCAGGAATCGCAGGATTTGGTTATTGAGAACGAGGCCGGCGTCGGGCAGTTTGAAGTGATGAACTCGAGTGTGGCTGTTTTCAGTGGCGTTTCAGCCATCGAGCGCAGATACGTGTTCGATTCTCTCATACCCGGGATGCACTACAACAGCATAATAAAGTTAGAAATTTTTAAATATTTGAAACATTGTCTGAATTTTCTAGTTAGCATTTCAGTTTAGCTGTATGTTAGATATATCATCCTCAGTATTCAACTGCTTTTGAAACCATTTTGAACAATGTTTCTCTTGAAATAACGAACACGTACTATGAAAATATGAAACGGTTAAAAATAGTTCAAACGAAAATTTCATTCTGGTTTTCTCTGAAATGCAGAATTGTTTTTGGTATGTGACCTTAAAAGCTGCATAGATACTTAGGCCGGGAAGTTACACTTTTCGAAAAAGCATCTAGCGAAACATTTTTGATGGAAAAAATTTGCTTTTAAACTGATTTGGAATTTTTCAGAGCTTTCTTCAAGGACAACTTAAAGATCCAAACTCCACTGCAAACCCAAGACACCGTTGAACCTGCAAGACCCGCGCTAAAATCTGCCGAGTCTTTCGAGAAGAGTATAATAGTCAACTGGACGCTCGAAGGAGTTGCAGATAACTACCATATATGGAATACTCCTGGCGATGGCATTTGTGCTGGTTCACTTGAAGGCTACTGTGAAGTATATGTGCAGGAACATAGCCTGCAAATATCTGAATTGATTGCCGGAGAAGGTATATTAGAAATCAGAAAGTGTTCAGATTCGGTTTATTTTTAACGATGTTTTTTGCCTGTTCCCTCTCACGGATTTGACCCCCTCACCACTCAAAGGGTTCCCCTTTGGTACTAATTTATGACATCAATTTTCGGCCATCGAAGCCTAAAATGTCTCTTGAAGCACCTTCTGCGCCAATATGTTCTAATTGTGAAGTGGCAGTGCACTCCAAAAATCAACTTTTGACCGATTTTTTATTAAAATTTCAACTGCGTTTTAATCAAAATTTATGGTCTTTGTATTGCTTTTGGAGAGCTCCGAAAAAGTAGATCCGCCACTAAATTGAGAGAAACTTGTAATTTTTTTGTCAAATGAAAACATATTTCATTTAAAATATTTTTATGAATACCAGAAGATAGATGGAAGAAAAATCTTTTTCAGAATACACAATATTGCTCCAATCAATCAGCGACGGGAAGGAAAGTCGAGTTCTTGAGTTTCTTCTAGCTACTTACACTGATAACGCAACACTGCAAATAATCGCTGACATCAACGAGCCCACCAAACTAACCCTCATAATCACAACCGAGTCGGGAGTCGGATTCGAACACGAGATACGACTAAACACGACTGATGTCGTGCCTATGATTAAGCATCAGCCTTTCGGGTTGTACCAGCAAGTCGACTTTGCAGAGCTAAAAGCGGGAGGCTGGTACCAGTTCATAGTCACAGCTTTCAGTAAAGGGACAAAACCTATGACCCAAACTTACAAGATTGCCGAAGTGGGGTTTCCGGATGTTCCGGAACAGTTTTCATATTCGCCAACAGTGGACACTACAACCATAGATATTGGCTTCTATGTCGCGGGTGTTTACCATGGTTGGTACCTCAAGTAGGTTTGGTCCATTCCAACTCAAATATTGAAATGACAACACTCCTCTCTTTCAAATTTGCTAATCACATTATAAGTGAACTTTTTTCTGAAGCGGATCTAAATTAAGTAGCTTGTTTAAAATTCGTTCATATTCTGAAATGGTATCTCGAATATTGTAACTTTCAAACTGAAAACAAATTTTATATCTCAAGGAACGAAAGTTAGTAAGAGGCAAGATTGAGCAAGTAACAGATCTTTTACACCCGCGCAGGACCAGCCCCCCCCCCCCCCCCCCCCCACACACACACACACACACACATGCACGCTCATCTCAAAACTTCCATGTTTAATTTACTTTCGCATGCTACTATGGCTTCAAAAAGTTATTTTTCGCTGTAAAGTATGAAGAAAAAATGTGCTAAGAAAAATTAACGTGTTCACCATGCGAACTCTCAGTACCTTATGACAATGTTCATTTAACTTTTCAGAGTTTAAGCTCAAATGTGGGGGACTGACTTTTGGATTCAAATATTGGATTTTTGGGTTGGGGGAATTCAATCTTGGGATTCGGTTTTTGATGCAATTTTTTTTGCTTTTATATTAGATCTGCTCCTTTTATACAGGCACTCATTGTGTCGAAAGCAGTAAACATATAATATGAAATTCATCAATAATTTTTGTTAAGTGCGACTGAGGGAACCTGTAGTGTCCCTTGCATTCTTGACAGTTGGGTGAGTGACCATACTGTTTCTGACCTAACGCCTGGATCTTTATTCACCGCAACAATACAGGCGTTCGTAGACTACCCTGGCTTCGCGAGGCGGTTCGGGAACCCACTTGTTGTCGAAGAGGTGCTTGTACCGATGACACCCTGGAAAACTAACGAGCCTGTTGCGGACTCCGCGGCATCGGCTACATTTTATTTTGATACATCCGACATACGAGCTGGATTCCTTATCACGTAGGTTCAAACCGTTTGGAGATCTTACATTTCCCCTTTAGTGTTTCCAAGCAATCAAGAGCTTCCATTTTCAACTATGAAAGCTGATGTTGCATCTAAGCTGTTTATGAAACATTCTGGAATATTTTCAAACGCAGTATATATACAGATAAACTGATTGAATAAATTTAATGTTCTTCTTTGTAAAATGAAACGATAGCTTTAAATAGTAAATTCAAAACAATTTTCATTTTGTTTTTCAAAATTAAGCAATCTAAATACAGTCACGGGACATCGAAGTTGCAATTTTTTGATTTCAACGAGAAAATGAACGAACTTTTTCTTCAAGTTTTGTTTGTTTTCTCTGCAACTACCGGGCCAAAAATTGAGAAATCTTGTTTTGAAGGCGTAAATTAGCTAGCATATCATAACTTATTTTAGAGATGTTTTTGCTGTAGAAACAACCTCACAAACAATTTGAGTAATTTGAATTTTTGGGCTCAAATTAGTTCTCTAGGAAGCTGATGAGTTTGAAATACTCATTATGTTGCCTAAAAATGACAAATAACAGAATTAACAGAGTTAATTGGTCCTGCGTAAGAAAATAGCTATAATTTTATGATTAACTTCGAGCTGATGATCGATTTCAGGCATCAAAAAAATATATTCCAGCCATTATTTCGGAAAAATTAATGCTAAATTGAAGCACAGGAGTCTCATTAGCAGTTTCTTGTGGTGTGTAATTTTACTATAATATGATTTGAACCCGTACCGTTTTAACTTGAAAAATCTCGTTTTGAAGGAGCAAATTAGCCAGCATATCATATTTTTTAAGAGGTGCTCGTGCTGTGGAAACAACCACGCAAAAAATAAAAGAAATTTGAATTTATGGGTTCAAATTAGTTCTTTGGGAAGCTGATGAGCTTGACTTACTCATTATGCTGCCTAAAAGAGACAAATGAAAGAATTAACGGAGTTTCTTGGTTCGGCGTCGAAAAACGGTCATATATGTTTTCACGACACATACACTTAAAATTTTTGGGAGCTTCCCAAAGAACTAATTTGAACCATAAATTCAAATTTCTTTTATTTTTTGTGTGGTTGTTTCCACAGCAAGAGCACCTCTTAAAAAATTATGATATGCTGGCTAATTTGCGCCTTCAAAACGAGATTTTTCAAGTTTTGGCACAGTTAAGCCCTTTCAAATACTTTCATCCACTTTTATCAAAATTTGAACCCTGTTTTTTAGTTATTTGCAGAGAAAACGAGCAAAACGTGAAGAAGAAGTTCGTTCATTTTTTCGCTGAAATCAAAAATTTGCAACTTCTATTTATGTCACATGACGTAAAATTATCTTGCCAAACTTTACTGGTTGAAAAATTAAATAAATCAAATTTATTTTCGTTATCAAACTATATATTATTTCGAACGAACATAAATGATTTTCTTGTGTGAATAAAAACAGTTTTGCTGTATTTTGTAGGAGCTCCGTTGGTAGCTGTTCTGAGACATGCGAACACGGCGTATCAGCTGCTCAAAGCTTCCAAATCACAGGAGCTACCCCGCGTACCGTTTTAACTGTAACCATTCAGGCATTCAGCGAGTTTACCGGCCTCCCCAGACGACTCAGTGCTGCCGTTCTCACTATTGAAGTCATGATGCCAGCTCCTACTGCGCTGATGCAAACAGCTCCGCCAAATTCACAAGCAACAGTTGTCACTTTTTTCATTACCGGTACTAGTGCAGAACATGGAATTACTGTAACGTACGTATCTAAAACTGCAACTTTTGATTTGATTTTTTAAAGTCGAATCATATATAGCACAATTTGTAGCCTAAATAAACTGTTTCATTAACTTCATCTTTTAGTACAATAAAAAAGAATGGTCGACCAGTTTTTTAAACGTTTTTTTTTTCATATTCGAGCCGTTTTTTGTGCGTGGCAATAGGATAACAGGAAAGAAGAAAATTTAGAACGTTGGTAAATTAATCATTATAGCTTGCAGTTGTCTTAAAAATGAATAAAAAGACAAAAAAGCACAAATTAAGTTGAATTAAAAACTTTTGAATTTGTGATTTTTTTTGCAGAAAAAATAATATGTTTTGCCAATGATGAAATGAAATTTCCCCGATCAAATGAAAGCTTATTTATTATAATGGCTAATCGCTTGCTTTACCTGCTCGAAATTAGAAAAAGATTCAAAATTTCAAACCCATGTTGTCGACACTGGTATTATTTGTAAAAAAAATTTAAATAACATTTGAATTTCTGCAAAAAAAAGGCTTCATTTAGAAATATCCCAATCATCTGAACTTGTTTTCATTCCGATTTTACACGAAACAAAAATAACCAAGACTTGGTTCCAATCTTGGTGCAATCAAACACTGTGGCACAATTTTTTTCGGATTATAAATAATGACACATTTGGCATCATTTTTGTTATGACCAATTCATGAAAAAAGAATTAACTTTGAGTTTTCAAGCTTTGGATTGTTTTTTGTCTTACATTTTACGAATTTACATTACAATCGCCATCCCTATGGTATCTACTCATTAATTCCCACCACTATAAATAAAAGCAGAAAATTAGCATTAAAGCGTTCCATGTAAAATTCGAATTTTTTTACAAACTGATTGGTCTCGACTAATTTAGCCTAACTAAACAATTGTTAAGTAATTTTAATACTTGTAAGGGGGTAATTTCACTAAACATTTTTTGTTGCGACTTTCGAAAAAAATTAGGAATATATCTGCTTGGGGTGATTTTTTATATTTTCAGACCAACTTCACAAAGAAAATTTGAAAATTGTGGGAATCAACTGGAATTTGAGTTTTGCCGAGCGAGTAATTTTGGTCACTAGCCTACCTGCATTTAAACATGATTGATAGTTTTAATGCGCGTTATATTTATGCGTTGCGAAATCTCGCACATTCATAATTGTTCCAAACTGAATTGAGACAATTTAATAAGTCAAATTAAAAGTTATCTAAAGTCAATTACTCCGCGTTTTCAAAGAAAGTGACGGCAGATTAGTTTTTGGGGCATTTTTTTGGCTTTTTTACTAGCAATTTTTGACGGAATTTTCATACATCATTATAATGTTTTTTACTGTTATTTTCAGCCGTTTTCAATTATTTTATGAAGTAAAATTTCAACATCCTCAGTACACAAAATAACAGAAAACTAAGAATCAAAAATTGAAAAAGAATTCGAAAAAAATTATTAGTTTGAGGCATTTTAAGTTCATTAGAATGTTTTGGGAGACTTCAAAACTTTTTTTTTATATTTCCAGATGCAATTGAGATGCATCCCTGGCAGTGATAATTGCAAAATTAGTTAAATTTTCAATTAGAGTGACAAAAATTTATAATGTTTTTTGGAATTTATTGTTTCCACCATTGAAAATGGGAAGAAACTTTGTATTCGGGTGTGTTTTATTTTTTTTCTATTTTTTCCTTTTGTTTTTCACACAAAATCAGTTACCACAAAAATCATCGGCCTGGTTTGAGTGATATATCAGTATCAAGCCTTTAAGTCGGAATTCGAACCACTTCTAATAAATTTTATGACTAATTCGAATAAATTTTCTAGCATCGAGAAAAAGCGGTTTGAAATTTTTAATTTTAGTCTAATTTCGCGCGACGAAAGCCAGCGAGTAGGCTTAGTTATGCTTACTTTAGGCCATTTACAATAACTTAATTATGCCTAATTTTATTTTTTCTTCCAAAACTGTTCTTCGGTTTGCCTATATTACTATGAGTGTCGAATATGCCTAAATTATAGTTTTATGTCAGATCATTTTATCACACTACGCAGAAAATCTACAATTTAAAAAAAAAAGTTTTTGTAGATTTTTAAAGACTGGTTGCTACTTGCACAATAACCGGCTATCCCTGTTTTTATGCATTTTCCAGTGGGTTTGGGACTGAAAATGAAATCTTCCAGTATTCAATATTTTGAGTTATAACCGAAGTGGTTAACTCATAGAGTAATTTCGGATAGGGTACACCGTCTGCTCGTCACGCTATCTTATTTTCGGCCGGATAGATTCGTGCAACTTCTTACTCTAATACCGATCCTAATCTTACTTTTATACTTACTAGTCTCAGGGTGTTTAACTAGTCTCTGCTAGGCTCAATAGATCTAGAGTATACTGGTTTATTGCGGCAGCTAAAGTTCTCTTGGAGAGGCAACTAATTTCTAAGTTAAATTCAAATCTCTTTGGTGCTGAAAGTACAAGTAATTTCAGCACTTACAAATAAGTGGGTTGTTAGTTAGATGGATTATTATTGGTTAATATTAAATATTTTACCGTGGTAAAATATCCAATTTATCCAATTATAAAATGTAGTTTAGATCAGGTTCCACCCATCCGGGTTTTACAGAGTTTTTTAGAATTATCTTTTTGCAATTTGAAGGATGGATGATGAACGTTGGTATTTGGCGAACATCATATTCTTGTCCGGTTCTTCTTGTCGAAGAAGTTCCAGGACGCTGGAGTTAGGGACATACAATCGTTGAGTCGTTTTTGACAACGACTGTGATCCCCAATGAAATCAATCTGATTTCAAAATGATTTGCTATGACGGGTTTTTCTGCATTATGTAGAGAACTTGTTTTGTGTTCAACCTCGTCTGGGAATGGCGTTGAGATCGTGTGTGGAAGGGATGCCTCGTAACTCGGATCTGTACGTATACTTGAACATCGAGGTGGTCATTGGTCTAGTTCAATGAAGTCCTTTTCTGCGAAGTCAAGTCGTACTCAAAATCCTTTGAGTTGTGATTGTGGAGGGCATGTCGGTTGTGCTTAGCCATTCTTTTGTTCGAGTGTGATGGGATCATTTAGTCTTTGGGTGTTCGTCTTTGTTGTTGTGTATTGATCTATATACTGCAAAGTATGATTTACATTTTATAAAATTATGTTAATCCAATTTTTTAATCATGATTTTAGTTAATCGTTTTCACAAAAGCGTTTTGTTTTAGTTTGGTTATTTTGAAGAGTTACTCACCCTTGAGTACCTCTT